ATCTTAAAGGTGAGAAGGTTACATACTGTATCTTTAAGCTTAACACCTCCTGAACTTAAAGATGCATGTAGGTCTGCAATATACATTTGTACACATGGAACTTTGACTTTATCGTCATTCTGGATCAGCATTTCATCAGAATATCTTGTCCTCAGTAATACTTTTTTGCTTATTCCTTTGACTATTACATGTATGTGTGAATTGGGATTTTCTGTGCTCACAAAAATGAAGACAAAGTACAGAAACAAACTGAATGTTGCGCCTCTGTTGCTGCGCTCTCCTCCTGCACCTGGACTGGAACACGCTAGAAAAACGCAACCCAACTATCTCATTAGAAATGTTGAAATGTTAAGACATGTTTTGAATCATTTCTATTCTTTTTGTGATTATTTTATTGACTATTTAGTTCCAGTATTGCTGGTTCAATTGAATGTTGAAAAGAAAAAGAAATGAGCTACATTTAATGTCCAAATATTTGACTTATGGATCCTTTTATTGCTGTTTCACTGTTTAAAACTTGAGTAATACTTATTGTTCAGAGAGACACGATCACTCAGTCAACAATAAAATATCCTCATTAAAGTTCAATAATGGTCAAATCCACCTTTATTTTGTGATATGTGAATAATGTCTATTGACTTGGGACGTGAAGGTTTGTGACTTTTAAAATATTAGTCCCCAGAAAAAAAGGTTTGGGAAACACTGCACTATGCAACCTTTTCTGGTGAAGGATCCGCCGTGTTTTCTAAATGAAAATGTTACAGCTATGTCTGAAAGATTCCACAGATGAGAGTAGGCAGGTGGCAGTACTAGGTAGACAGCTCAGATCTGTGGAGAGGCAAGCTCACTCATAGAAGGAATGCATGTTTTTGAAGATAGTTTAACCAACGAGATGATTTAACATATAAATAATAATAATAATAATAAATCCCCTAGATCTAATGCATTCACATGCTGCATTTGTTCTTTTACAAGCGTAGATCGTTTTTAATGCCATACTGTGGAATACTCAAGGCAAATCTCTCCATGGCAGACCCCTCCAAAGAAGTTAAACAGTGCATCTTTAAGGTTAGGAGTTAGTGGGCTATATTTCCGTTTATTTCTCGGATGTTGTGATTAAACTTGTGAAAAAATAATAGCCTAATCCTTCATCCAACAGGTGGATCAATAAAACATCCACCTCTCCTTCCTCGCGCCCTCACTTCAAACATTTGTATTTGAGACAGGTTTTTGTTTACCGTGCCACAGATGCGTCATGCGCCTGTTTGCTCCTGTTTGCTCTCGCCATGTGATCTTCCGGGGTGCGGGAGGTGACCCAGTGTTTATGAGACAATGTCAGACAGTACAAAAGACACCGCGGATGCACGAGGACCGCGTGTATTTGCTCTTTTTCCCAGCGCTCAAACACGGAACAGGTCGGTCCAGGAGCGTCATGCGGTCGGTCCCGTTTGTCTGCGTGCTAAAATGACAAAGAGAACAAATGCCACGCACAGCTGGTCACGGGAAGCAGACCTGTCAAACTAGTTCAGGAGCAGGAGAGATGCGCACCGCGTACAGCCCGTCTCCTGTGATCGCGCGCTTTGTGTGCCGAAACACGAGCCCTGGCGCCACCTTGTGTTGTGTTCAGGAGTTGTATGTTGACTTCATAGAGAAAATTATTGAACCACAACGGAAATTATTTGGACACAGTAGCTGACACATCACAACATAATATAATAACAAAGAGTAAAAAATATTCTTCTGTTACTGACATGAAAATAAATCTTGCATAATTGCCAAATCTATAAAGCTCTAGGCCTATAAATCGCTGGCTACTGTAGGTTTCTATATAAAATAGTTGCACTTAAATTAATTTTAAGCACTACCTTTCAAAAGAATTGGCCATGACTATATAAGCAAAAGGATCTGAAAAACTATATTATTTTAAAGGTGCAATTTTTTATTTTATTTTATTTTATTATTTTTTTGGTAGAGGCACCACCTGCTTGTGTTCATGTGGATGTTATTGAGATGTATATAAACTATGTCAATATTTTAGGCCTTTTCAAGTCAAAGTAAAAAAAAAGTTTCTTGAAGAATTATTACAAAACAATGAAAGTATTTCATACAAAAATGACTAGTGTAAGTAAGTAGTTTTTTTTTAATTACTATTACTATTATTATTATTATTATTATTTATATAGTGCTTTTCACAGACATATATCACAAAGACACTTTACAGAGCATCATTCAGACACATAGGTGGTGGTAAGCCACTGTTGTAGCCACAGCTTCCCTGGGGCAGACTGACTGAAGCACAGCTGCCAATCGGTGCCATCGGTCCCTCTGACCACCACCATCACTCACACACCACTTTCTTAGGCAATGCAGGTCAAGTGTCTTGCCTAAGGACACAATTACAGTTTTTTGCAACCGGCGTACCACTGTGGCACCTGACATTCCCCGTGGTCTCCCATCCAAGTACTAACCAGGCCCAGCCCGGCTTAACTTCTGAGATCTGAAAGGATCAGGCTTTTACAAGTCGATATGGCCACACAAGTGTGAGAAACCAACTGAACTGTTTTGTTTTTTTTTGTTTTTTTTTTTTCCAGTTTTTTCAGTTTTACATGCAGTTACTAGTTATTATACTATAATCTACTTATATACTATACTATACTATACTATTATAATATATAAAATTTAAGTATTTCCAAATTATCAAAACATTATGAAAAAAACTAAAACAAACGTATACAATATCTTCAAATTATGAATCAAGTTAGTAGCCTATAATTAAGTAACTGTATTACCTTACCTTCAAGACACATGCCAGAAATGTGTTTTACTCAAGAAAAAAGGCTAAGTTTTGTTACCAAGATCCAGCTCAGTCTGTCCTGGTCAGCTGCTCAAACTTATGTCACAAAATATGTCACAAATTCTGAGCTCCTGCTTCACAGCACCCAGCTCAGTCTGTCATTTCTCACCAGCAGGCAACAGAAACTAACTTAGTTCTTATTCCTCTCAACTCAAATGATAATTTCTTCTTCAGCTTTTTTACACTTTCCTCACTCTCTCTTCAGTGAATTGTTAGTGCAGTTTGATGAAGTACTTGACATTTAGTGGATTTTAAAGCACCATCCATCAGACTTTATACTGTCAGTGCACATTAATCTCTGTGCAAGGCTGGCAAAATAACTTCATTCAAACATTCTCATTTTAGTTGTTATTATATTTGACTGAAAACATACACAGCCGCTGAAACTTCCCAGTTATTTTGCAGATGGCTGTTTTCAAAAATATGTGTCAGGGTATTCTAATAAGGAAATGTCAAAGAAACTGTATGGATGCATTTGGTTAATAATAAGAAAGGCTAACTTGTGGCAGTCAAAAACACGTTTCTCACCATGGTTTCTTTAAAGATACTCTATATAACAATATTTCTTTGACTGGGATGTTTTGCTGTATTTCATTTTCTTCAAAAATACACAGAAAATCATGCTTTCCTACTGTGAGTGTGGCTGTCCCTGATCTATAACTTGGCCTTGTGGTGTCACCTACTTGTCTCCTTGGAGATATGAAAGTTTAATGCCATATTGGGAACATTCCAGACCAAGCAACAGCATCTACAAGGAGGAAGAGGAAAAGCAGGTGGTGGATCCTGCATCAGAAAAGTCACATAATGTACCTTTAATGATGTATACCTCAACCTTTCAAGGTCAAACAATTAGTATGTGAAAATCTAGTGTACTATTAGTAGCAAGTATGTTTTAAACACGTTTTGCGCTTCTCTTGATAAAGAACTTTTGTCTTTTCACCTCTTACTACTCCTGGATTGGCAAATAGTTGTCTTTTTACTTGTGTGCCGCCCTCTGCTGGTTAAAACTCTGACCTGCAACACCTGCTCTTTACCTTGGACCAGAGAAGCGTCGTTAAAGCACGTTCCCCACAGACTGATAAGATGCCAACAGCTGATTGATGCGTGACCTGAATCTTTCTGCTTTGGACATCAGTCACAAACACGCACCGATGCAGCGCTTATTCAGTTTAATGGAAATGACAATATCCGCTGCGTCCGTGATGAATGCATCGGTCCACGGTGTGATTCACGGGTGATGGCTGCAGATTTTTAAAGAATCATTATTGAACCGAACCCTGGGAGTTTATGATGGAGAATGATTTAACAGTTACTCCCATTTCTTGCTCAGTTATTGCGCGCTGTTCCCGTCAAGGTTACGCAGAGGGTGGGTTGTACTTTAATAGTAGACTAATAAAACTTGAGCCAAAATAAATAAATACATGGGTGAAACGTTGCAATACTACTGACAATATGCACGATGCATCTTGTTTCTAAATACAACTGAATAATACAAAAACAGTCAATACAACGACGGAATCCCACGTATATATTTGCTCTCTAAATAAGCAGTACAGTATAGTTGTGCTGCTATAACTTCATTTTGTGAAATGTACCAAATTGCTCATAGCCTATCCAGTGATATGTTTGGCACATTTTTGTAGATCTGGTAAATTTTCTCAAATGTGTCAATAATACTTTGAAGTATCAGTGAAATGTGGTACAATTGCCACCCAAGTAAAAGGTAATTGAAAGTTAAGGAGCCTATATTACATGAAATTGACTCTTGCAAGCTTTATGAATATTACATAGAGCTGAGTTTTATTTTATTCAAGTATTATTATTAGTAGTATTGTTTTACTTGAGTAATCCTATATTATTAGTCTGTCTGCATCGCCAAAGCTCAAATGCTCTGTTCCACCTTGTGATGTCATGAAGAGGTAGTTTTAGAGTTAACAGCTACACCTTGTACCTTTAGTACTGTAAAGATTGGCAATTCCAGGGCTGAAATTATCCAGTTGATTTAAGTGAAGGTGTATGGAGTTTAAAAACACAGTGGAGCGCTTTCTGTATTACTACATGACACTGCTTTTTAAGAAAATACTTCTGCTTTAAAAAATAACCCAAGAGACAAAGTCAGTACACATTTTTTAATAACATGGCACAATTTACAGAACACAAGTTTAAATGAGGAGCATGCTGAAGATTCAGTCGCTTCATTTTTTCTCATTTTTGTACACGGTCTAGAAAGACTTTCTTTTTTCTGTACATAGTAAACAGCAAAAAGTTCTTATTTAACAATCTTTTTGCAATACGCATTAACTAATCACTATGGCTCCGGGGGGACGTCTGTAAGTGGGATAAAAAACACTGCACGACATGGTATATCACAGAGTTTGAAGCGCACAACTAAACTTTCAGTGGGCTACTAAAATAGATTTCTGCTCCTGACAAACAACTGTCCTTTTTGTGTTTTTGTTTTTGAACATACATTAATATAGGGAAGCACTTGAAATCACTGACCAAATTGTACCTTCCACTTACTTCACTGGGATGGGGAATACACTGCTGTGCTCTCCCCAAAACAAGACCAAATGAGGGAAAGAATAGTTGAGATTTGTGCTGCCAGATACTGGATATTGTGAATGTTTTACACTGTGTCTCAAAGATTGTCACCACTATTTGGAAAAAAAATGTTTTGATCTTAAGTCCCAACAAACCAATGCCAAATCCTGCAGACCTGTGAGCTTCTCAAACCACAATGTTGTACGTCTGTGTTGTGGGGAGAACACAGCAGCTTTCAGAAAGGGAGCCAAGATTTTTTCTTTTTGCATAGTTGGTTATGGGATTTTAGTGTCTCAATATTAATAAGCTGCATCAACCAATAGAACTCAAAATGTCTAGCAAAAAGCACATTCTGAATCAGCACCTCAGACTCCTCTATTTACAAGTGTTTAAAGTAAAGCTTTCAAAACATTCTTTTGCATATTTGTAACATACAGAGAGAGAACAGCAACTGTACACTATATACACACTGCAGTCAGTGCTAAAAGTACTGTACATTCCAAGTGGACCAACTTCATCAGATTAAAGAATACACACAAAGCTGGAAAACCAGGAAAACATCATTGAGTTTTCAGAAGACTGTCTCTTTACAAAACATTGGAGTGCATGGGCCTCTGCCGCCCACATAAGTTATTCACAGCTATCATACAGTCTAAGTGCTGGGTCTGAGGCACAGGATCTCACCGTGCCTCGATGTCTTTGTGGGTGGGTCTGTCCCGTATGTCCGCGGTCAGAGGCGTAGTCCGTCTGGGCGAGCCAGGGCGGCCCAGAGAGGGGATGAGGGGGGGGGGCGCACTCAGAGACGCTGTAGCAGCAGCTTTGTTCAAAATCCCATTCTGATGAGCAGTCGCAGCCACTGCGGCAGACGGGCTCACTCTGGAGTAGTGCATGCTGTGGAGTCCTGGGGCTATGAGGCCGGGGGCTGGATGGGGGAGGTGGGGGTCCAAGGCGGGGTGGTGCATGGATGGGGGCAGGCGCCCATGCTCATACTCCTCCCTCAGCATGTTGAGTCGCTCTCGCTCGTCCAGAGGGACCCTGTCCACCTCCCTGCGGTGCTCCAGCCCCAGCGGGTGGTGGTCCCTGTTAAAGTCGTGTGGTTCTCTATCGCGGTACGAGCGCTCGGCCTCATAGAGCCGCGGGGGGGCCAGACGGCTCAGAGGCTCATTCCTGAGCAGGAGCTCTCTGGCCAGAGGGTCCCGTCTGTGAAGGTCAAGGCCCCTGTAGGGATCCCTCATAGGGTCCCAGTGGAAGGCGGGGTAAGGGAAGCGCTCCGCTCCGGGGATGGGACTGATGCCCATAAAAGGAGCCACTACTCGAGTTCTGTCCAGACTGCTGATGCTGTTGATGGGGTGCACTCCGGGCATGGCCATGGGCAAGGGCATAGAGGAGGGGGGGTGGAGGCTTGGTGTAGAGGGGGCCCTGTCTGTGGCTCCTTCCTGATCCTCTTTCCTCTCCTCTTTCACTTTGACCTCACTGCTCTTCTTCTGGAGTTCATAAGGCGTGTCCTTTTTGTCCAGGACCTCCCTTGGCAGACCGTTGGGCCTGTCCAGACTGTTCTGTCTGATGTAGGGGGACGTGGAGCCCCGGCTGGACCCTTTGTCCTCAGACGTCCTGCTGTCATGGATCACACTGTCCTTGTCACTGTGCTGGCTGTCTTTGAGCTTGTGCTCCTCTGGGCTCAGCTCTTTCCATGAGTCCGAGTGCTCTCTCTCTTTGGCCTTGTCCTTATCTCTGTGGGGGTCTCCGGAGGAGGGGAGGGGTGGGTTCCTCGGGTGCTCCGGAGGTCGGCTGTGGCCCAGAGAGGGGAGTGGAGTCACAGACACAGGCGAAGGATGACTGGAGTGACGCTTTTCTACAGAGTCCCTGTAAATAATAAAAACATAAGACTGAGTACAGAGAGGTGCTGACACCTGTCTACACCATAGGAGGCAGTAGTGAGCTCGTACCTGTCCTTGTCATCTTTACTCCCAGACTCTCTCTTATCAGTGTCCCTGTCACGGTCGTGAGAGCTGACTGAGGCGCTCCTCTCCGACTCCCCGGGTTTGAGCCAGGGGGGAGGGGTGGGGAAGGAGGGTGGGGTTCGGTGCAGCCGGTTCCATGGCTCCTGGGGGCCGCTGCCACTGCTGCTGCTGAAGTGCGTCTGGGAATTAGGGCCATCTTTATGGCCAAACACGGAGTTGGCCGCTGTTAGGGATTCAACACGCGGAAAATCACAGAACACAAGTTAAATGCGTATTTTACAAATTTGATCATTTAGAATATGTATATGAGTTGTCACGATACTAACATTTCAAACTTATATTAAGGAATAGACTCAATACTCAATACTGATTCTATGAAAAACACTCTTTTTTAGACATCAGAATATGATGTTCAACATTAAATCATTAAATGGTGTTATATGTGTGTAATCAGTCAGTGGTCCAGGTAGACTCCACAGAGGTTCATGGGCGTACACTAGTCGATGTGCTTTTATACTTGTTCTGATACAGCTCAAGATCATTCTAAAATATTGAGGAAAGGTGCATTTCTGTCCTGTCAATGTGACTCTTTTCATATCGATACTTGTTCATGTGAGTATCTAGTTTTGATATTAGTTTTAAAATCGATTAGTTTTTCTTTTTCAATACTTTTGAGAACATAAAACATATTTTTTTTCTCTTCTGAAATATCATTTGATCTTAAAACATGTGTTTTCTGTAAATATAAAACTCACTTAGTGCTGGATTTCCTAGTCCTCCGAAGGCTGTGGAACTGAGAGCGCCCAGTCCCCCAAAGGAAGCAGGTCGGCTAAAAGGCTCTGTGAACATAAAATATTCAAGTTTTTACATTTTAAAAATGTAATGTCTGTTTAAAAAGGGTTATTTTTATGAATATTTATTACCTAAGTGAGGGGCTGGAGTGAGGAAGTTCCCGGGATGGTGGGGTGGATGGCCAAATGGACCAGCGGACGGGTGAGTTGGACCTGAGAATAAAGAAACACAATAATCATCTGTGTCACCATGTCATCTGTCTGCTTAATTTACTAAAGAAAGAAAAGGCATTTTGTATTTTTGAACTCTATCCAACTCTTTATAGCTGAATTTACAACTAGCGCCTGCTCTGGGTAGAACTCCCATAGTGCCCTCTTGTGGAGCAGAAGAGAATGTCTCGATTGTTGAGAAGTTCAGTTTAGGGCGCAGACTATATATATAAAAGGACATAGCTAACCCACTGGCCTCTTTGTTCCATATAGGAAGTGAGCATGGCGGTAACTGTGGCTCCATCAACTCTGGTTCCAGCTGATATTACATTGAAAAATTGTCACTTGTATCTCTGTAACTGCTGCAGTGAGCCTAGTTATTTTCTAATGTAGTTATTTTATTGTCTTAAAATGCCCATATATGATCCTACTATTTTTATTTAGCAGTTTTATTAATAAATAAATTCCTAATATGGTCCTGACTCCAATTTTGTCTATAACTACTAGCCTTGTGAGCTTCATTTGACTGGTCACTCTCCCTTAGGCTACTTCTTTATACAGTCTATGGTTTAAAGCTGTAAATTTTAGACTACAATAGATAAAATAGTTGCGCTTTTATTTGAACATCACTTTATCATTGGCGATTCCTCCTTGTACATGACATTGTTGTAGCACAAACTCACCTGCTGCAGAGAAGAGCGTAGCTGGTCGTGCCAAGTCACTGGGATGATGAATGGCCCCAAACAGACTGGGGCCCGGGGGTCGACTCAGGAAGTCCGGCTTGAGCCCAAAGTCTAACTTGTGAGGGTCAACCTGCATCTGCTGCTAGAAAATGGGAGAGCACAGAGATCCACATGTAAAACCATTTTAGTTACAACAGTGTTCTCATTCTGTACACTACAAAGGATGGACTGAAACATGACAGGGCTTATTGTAACCAGGATTAAACCAGTGGTGGAAGATACAGAGTTAAGTACAAAAGTAAAAGTACTGTTCTTGAGTAAATTACAGTGGATACTTTTACTTCCCAACATTTGAGAGCAGGTATCTGTACTTTAAACTCCACTCCATTTTTAAAGTGGACTGAAAAGTAGAGTAGAGTATTTCTTAGTAGAGTATTTCTTATGTATGTTTTTATGGTTTGAGAATGCTGAAGGGTATTTTAGAGCATGGTGACATCCGGGGGTTTGCGTTCAAGACTGGGTCTTAAAGAAATATAAAAAGATAGTAAATAAAAATAACAAAAGAAGTATATATTCTAGTTGCTTTTGTGGAACAAATATCTGAGAATTCTTTGCTTTAAATCACTTTTTCTCAAACTGTGGTATGAGTTCTTTTCAAGTGGTACTTGGACAGCTCTTCAGTTTGTGGGATTGCCTAATTGAGAGTTAATTTAATCAACCTTTTGTCAATTTCTTGTTTTTGACTTAGATTAGACCTGTTATTGACCTAATTTAGATCTGGAGATACTCGGAAAGCCAAACTTTTTCTTTGGTGTGAGAAGTTTGAGAGCCACTGCTTTAAATAGTTCTCAAAATCTCACATTTTAAACAGGTATTATTACTACATATTTTTGGCTCTTGTATCTTTACTTTTACTTAAGTAACAAAATGTAGTACTTCTTCCACCACTGGTACTAACTGCACTAATGCTGAGCTGCGTATCTGTCCTACACTAACAATAAACATAGACAGAGTTGAGTCCGAGGAGCGCTCACCTTAACTTTCTGTTGGTGATGGTAGATCTGCCAGGCTGTATGCACATGCATCGCACACCACTTCCCTGGTTTCTGTAAGAACAAAGTAAACTCACTCTTAAAGCTGATCTGTATCTGTATGATGGTCTATTCTTATTACATGGAGTGAAAAATAGAAGTATATATTTGATTTGTGTTTTGATATGAGTCAAGAGTACTCACCCTGAGAATGGGCCGAAAAGGATCTGTTAACTAGAAAAAAAAATAAACAAGAGTCAGGCTTGTGTGTATATCTGACTCTTGAAACATTATAAACAGTATAGGTATAGTTTGAGTTCATTTGCAAAAAAATACACAGACACAGTTTGGACACACACTCTCATGCAGTGTTTTTTTTCTTTAAGTTTACTTCTTAGTATTTTTGTTGAAGTTGTTGGGGCATAGCATAGTGTGTATATCTACTCACTACAGTCAAGAGAAGTATTATGTTTTCATATAGATAGTATGTTATGTAACACTATTCACTTTCTAAAGTCTGGCAGTAAAACTCTGAGTTCATGTGGGCTTGCTCTTACCCTGGGGTCCTTCTGTAGGAACGTGTGTGGGACGGCTCCTGGTCTGGTGGAAACATCCAGTGGATTGGAGGTCTGAGGAGGTCAAAACAAAACACAGATCAGACCAAGTATCTTTTAGAGTATCTGATAGAGTTGTATTTGGTTTTGGTGAAGTGTCCTTACCTTAGGTTGAAAGGCACCCTGTAGTGAACCAAATGGCCCAGTCGGTGGAATGACGGGGGGCAGACCAGACATGGCCGGTGGGTACGAGTGGAAGAGCTGCGGAAAAACAGAATATATGTTGATGATGTTTGGATTTAAAAGCATGAGAGGATCTGTATTTATGGGTTTCAGGACTTTAAACCATTCAAAGGATAAGGTATTTGATTTTAAATTGTGAATAACTATGGCAGCAGTACTCATTTTTCATCATTCTGAAATCCATAGACTTTTAATTTGATACATTAAAGGTGCACAGTGTAAGTTCTGGTTCTACTTGTCTTCATGGGGATGTTATAGTTTTGTCTGAAATGTCCCGGTATGGCAATAAATGTTTTCGTCTTGCATTTACTCTATAACATGGGTTTTTATTGGCCTAAAAACTTACTTTATTACTATGAGTGGGCTCACCTCTCCACAAGTCTGACATGTAACTTGGCCCTTCTGTCTCCATAGAGATAAATAACTGTATTGCCTGCTATACTGTGAGACAATCCAGGCAATATCTCCATGGACAGAAGCAGATGACAGGCCTCCACCAGAAAAATTACACAGTGCAACTTAAAATTAAAAAGTATAATAAAATTATTATGTTTTAAAACTCATGCAGACTGGTTACACATTTAGTATGTACAGCATGATGCAGAAATGACTGAAGTTGCTTGGAAAACACAGAAAATACAGCTCCAGATTCTTTTGAGTAGTGTGTGCAAAGAATTGCTTTTGGTAAAACCCAGAGGCAATAATCTTTGACAAATAAATAAACCATTGGAGAGTTTCAGACCATTAATCAAATAGTGAGAAATTAAACAAACATTCTGTGGCTGTGAGCAAAATATCCAAAACAGAAAATGATGCACACAACTGGCCAAGAATGGACACACACTTGACTGCACATTGTATCGGAAAGAAACTGCTAGAAATTAGTACAAAGTAGGAAAACTCACACTGTGTCTGTAGAATGGGTCGACTTTCGTTGGGTATTTTTCAAACTGTGGGAGAAACAAAAACAAGAATAAAACATGATTCTTTACACACGCTGGCAATCTAAGAATAAGACATCACATCCACACTCTCTCTGACCCCCTCCCTCCTCCTCTCCTCCCCTCCTCCCCTGGCCGTGATCAGAGGACATTTAAAACCAGTGTGCATCCTGTGTCTCATTTGGTCTGGCTCTTTTACTGTTGCAGAGGGGCTCAAGGCGAACGTTTCCCTCGTCAAGGCTAAACAGCGCGGCTATAAAAGGCTCGCTTTATTGCCTCATTAGCTGTCAGTGGCTGCCTTTGAGCCATCATCAGAGCCAAGTGAGCCCTCCACAAACCCGGACAGCAGTCAGTACAAATCTACATGTGTGAACCACCCATAGCCTCTGGTCTCCCCTTGACGCGTAGCTGTGGTCGAAGTCATTTGGCAGTAATGAAAACCCCAAACAGGACCAAATGATGTCGTTAAATTTCAGAATGCATTAACTGTATTATGGTTTGGGAGCTGGCGCTGAATCTGACATGCTCAGGGCAAGTTATTGGCAATTTAGAAAATAACAGTCTTTGCTGTCAGGAGACAAGGGGAATGCCAGGACAAACATACAAAGAGTTTGTTGGGGAATAAATGCATCCTTGTGGCATGCTGATGATCATCACAGATATAAAAGGAGTTGGGCAGTGATAAGGAGCTGTATTTCCTAGTTACATTACCAAAAATAGTTTTATGAATTTTACTTTTTAGCAGGTGTCTACATCACATTTCTAAACCTACATGAGGAAGTAATAACCACTACATACAGTTTTAACCACTTTTACCCTCAAATGAGAATTTTTAATGCTTTTACTTTGACTTAAAATTTCTTTAGTAATGTCCAAGTCAATGTTGCTCAGTGTTTTGTTGAGTAAAATCACCAAATTATTATGTTTTTCTTTCTTTGACTTGAGCAATTATTTGTATTTCTAGTTCTTCTCTTCTACTCAAGTAAAAAGAAACAATACTCTTCCTTTTCTTCTATGTCTGACCACTAACTACCTCTGGAACAAGTCTAAAATATCCCACCACAAATATATTTACACAACCACACAATTGTGTAACTTAAACTTTAAATTGGTTAAGGGTTGTGAATTTCTAGTTTTTACTTGAGAATCATTATTTAAAAGGAACAAAACACTTTCTTGACGACTATTTCTGACCACTAATCATCGCTAGAACAAATCAATAACTAGTACAACGGTCAGAAGGCAGTGTAAAACTAGCCCAGCACACATTCACTCACACAAACACACACAGGAGTTATTAAAAGCCCTGTAAAAGTCAGGACTCCTTGTTCTGTACTTATCCTCACATTTGGGGCAGGGGTACGCACCATGGGCGGTGCCGGCGTGGGCATGATGCCGTGGGGGAAGGGGGTGAAGGTGTGCTGGTGCGTGTGCTGATGGGTGTGCTGGTGCTGGTGCTGGTGCTGATGCTGATGCTGGTGGAACTCTGTGCGCAGGTATGGAGGCGGCCCCAAGGAGGCGCCGCGATCTGCGCTCTGAGAGGCCAGGAAACGCGTGTTCAATTCCTGACGCAAGAGGTCTTGTTCTGAAAGAGAGAGAGAGAATAAATATGAGTGAAAATGGTTGTAATAACTTCAGAAACAAAATACTACTTCCTGATTTTTCCTTTTCTGAAAAATATATTTTCCTCAATCTAAACCCAGGGAAGTTGTATTTTCGCAGTTTCACTGTTTAACCAGTCGTAACAAACATCCAGTTCCAGCAGCCATGTTGTAACTGTAATATTCGGTAGGTGCATGTTTTACTGCAATTTTCTTTAAATTGACTTGACTTGTACTTGTGCATTATCTAATGCCCATGCTCAACCATACTAATCTTTGTTTTTATTTTTGCTAATAAAAATGCATTATCAAACACCTTGAATTTAGCCCTTAGATCAAAATGTAAAATCCTGACCATGATCATTACAATTATCTTTGCTTAGTAGCTGCCTCCACAGTGTGTATTGATGTATTCCCAACACAGTTAACCACTAACATGAAGTCAGTTCCAGTCAGAAGCAGTGCCTGAAAATGGATGTGGACTGTTTCTCTTCATAAAAATTTCATTGTAACCGTTCAAATCAAATCTAGTAAGGTGTGTGTGGTGTTGAGCAAATAGATTTCAGGCTACAGGATGTTATTACAGGTAAACACTGCCATCCCTTTTCCCTCCTCTCTTCATTCTAACCTTGACATTTAACTTCACAGACAGAAAACACCAATTACTTCAGTTATAGAGTTATTGGAGGTTATTACTGGTCGTGGCAAAGGACATGAGTTAAATTGTGAATCTGAGTGATTTAGCCCAGTCCACACTCCCTCAGCACTGAGCATAAGAATGACCCTGGTCACTTTAAATAATAATCCAACTGTGTCCATCTCATACTCAGGGGTGCGATGAGCTGTAAGTGCTTTGCATCACCACTGGGGGGCACTGTGGTGACGTGAGAATAGTGTCATACCTGAATAAGCACTCCCAGCAGCAGGATGCGCAGGTACTGGCAGAGTGCTAGACGTGAGCGGAGGTGGAGGAGGCAGAGCAGCGGGAGGAGCGAACATATTGGGGTGATGCGGATGTGGCGAGGGCTGTAATGAGGGGGGGAAGCTGTGGGGGGCGCTGTGGTTGGCCGATAAGGACAGAGGAAAGGGTCCCACTGACGGAGGGGGGTGGTGGGGGAGGTGGAGGGAAGGTGTAGGGGGCCCGTGGGACTTGGAGCCTGGAGTGCTGCTCCTGCTGCTGCTGTAAAGACACAGAAGAAACAAAGAGCCAGGTTAAGTCAAGCGTGATGAGTCAAAATTAACACTTGTGCCTCCACCTCTCAGCTCCATCTGCTGCAGAATCTTATTCCCTGCACAGTGTTTTCACACTTCAACTGTCCCCGTGTGTGTACCGATGCCTCCCTGCCTCTTTCAGCTTCACCAAATCCGGGGCAAACCTGATGTGTGAAAACACAACACTGCACCACCCTCGGATGCTCCTTCTGCTAAGCCTGTCAGCGCCGCTTTATTTGCATCGTCTTGGAGGAGATTGTGTTCAGACACTTCTCCAGAGCAGGTAGTGAACATGTGCCTCAAAAGAGGATGAGACGGGCGAGTGTGCATGTGTAAGCTAACAGTCTTTTGTACTGTGTGTGGGTTTTCCCCTGGGCCAGTCTCTGCAGCTTCTGCTAAAGCCTAAAAGCTCATTTTCAGCAGTGCTCCTCTCCCTGGGCCCGCCATGATTATTCACAGCAGGTGCCAGGCCTGGTGGTGCACAGGGAGCCTGGCACAGAGACTGGCGCACACAGCCAAGTCCTGCGAGGATGAGCCAGAGCTGTTGTTGGGATTGAGTGGGTTCACAAGAAACTACGCTGTCTTAGATTTATGAAGGATACCCCACAGGAAGACGAGATCTGGCCCACTACTGAGCCCATTTCTGTTTTATAATCTGAAGAATCTCGAACTAAGGTATGAGCTCGCTCTCAAAATCCATGTCTTTGTCTCCTATATAATTACAATTTATGACAAATGTTGATCATTATTTCATTTTTTGGATATTTTGAATAACAATATTCATCTAAAACAACATTTTCCCCCATCTGAGCCAAAACGGCTATGAAACACTACAAAATTCTATGTGAATCACCATTAAAAAAAAGATGTAATATAAATTTTAAGAATAGTGCAAGTAAAAAGCAGTGGGGATGTATAGGGGGTAGGGGAATTTCAGGAGCAATGGTTAAATGGTTACCATGGTTAAACGCTCTAAAGGGAGACTTTGTTTTGTATCCGTAAAAGAGGGCATATTTGACTTCTATAGGATATTAACTGCTAACACGTATCATATTTAGATCAGCACGTTACCCCTTCAGAGTGTTGTCACAACAAAATCAGCGTGCATCCCAGCATGCAACTACTGCTCAAAGAATCAGGTTTGTCAAGTTGCTATGGACAGTTTTGTGTCATGCTTTTGTATATTTATGGCGAATTACCATGTGGGTTGAACATTGCACAGGATCTTAGAGCTAGCCGTAACGATTGTTTGAATAGGGCCCAGGAGAGATCGCTAAAATACTCATAGTCATACTCAACATACATGGATGACATCTAAAACCTCTTCAAATAAACCATGTGCACATACTGATGGTGGGTTCATAAGTTCAGATGACAACACCACAGATTAGACAGGTCAGTATTCAGAGTTGAATGATGGGACTTTTACACTGATGTGCCCAGTGCATTCTCTGAGCTCTTATGAATTATGTTTTTACAACAGGAGCTGTACCTGTGCCCGTTGAGACTGATGCCGTTGTACGCAGACACCGGTCGGGCGTGGCAGCGTGATGGGGGTCTCTGAGGGTGCTGCAGATGTGGGTGGTGTGTAGGGAGAGCGGGTGACGGGGTCTGTGGGTGCACACTGGGCGTAGGTGGAGGTCGAGGGTGGGACAGTGTTTCGGGCAGGTGCTGGGCTCGGGGAGGGGGAGGAGGTGAGGGCTCTCGGCCCGCGGCGAGAGGCAGGGCGGCGGGCGTCCGAGGCCTGGAGGGCGCCTCTGTCCGTGGGGGGAGGGTGGAGGCCCTGGAGTGGGCGGGGCTGCTGGTCCTGTGGTGTGGGGACAGGGGCTGCACAGTAGATAGGGGCTGCACAGTGGACAGGGGCTGCACAGTGGACAGGGGCTGGGGGGGTGGGGGGTGCAGAGGGGAGCAGGGGGCCGCACACTCCTGACTCCTCTCCTGACTGCGCTCTAGGCCTGACACCTTAAGGACACCCAGGCCAACTGGCTCCTGGCAGCCATTGGAGGAAAGCACATGGACGCCAAGATCAGGAACTGGAAAAACAAGAAAAATAATATTTAGATGAGTAGTTGTCAGAATTTACTCTTACATTACTCTTGTATTACAAAACATTTGAGGCATTTCAAAGTTTAAATGCATCTAATAAAAATGAATTAAAAACAAATGCCTTCACTAGCAGTATCGACTGTTATTACACCGTTACAGCTTTCATTTTATAGTGCCAACAGCAAAGGTGTTTGTCACAGGAAGTATCTAGGCTGATTCTTGGAAATACACCTGAACCTTATATATATATATCTCTTCACTAAGGGCCAGATTCAGCAGGAGAGCAGGTTGTTTGAGGCTCCAGGGCTGTAGAATTATGTCTAAAGAAGGTGTAATTCGCTTTGTGCTCTGTTGAAAGCACCAAGAACAAAAGCTAATAAGCTGTGTCCAGGGCTTCTCTCCACTGGGACTGTCCTGGAGAACAGTGCAGAGCAGCTCTGGCGGCTCGGGCTCTGGGGGAATGACAGCGCATACATAAGGTGTAATTAACTCTCTATGGACTACAGGGACTTCTGATCACTGGGAGCACAGTACTTCACCTGACAGAGAGAGGGCGATAGAAGCCTGCACATCTGAGACCAAACACTAAAGCTGATGTAACAGGCACACCCAAAATCTTTGTCCATTAACATCAAAACGATGAGAGGGTTTCAGAAGTTGACATAATATTAGAGCTAAGGGTCAGAAGAGGCGATTCCTGGTAAGAGATTACAATCAATACAGACAATAACCATCGACTGCTGCTCGGTAAAAAAGCTTACTGGAACAGGCATTGAAATATTCCTAGTGATTTAAAGAGACCTCTTGGAAACAGAAAAACACTTAAGAAAGACATATTGTGCTTTTACGGAGCTGTATAGTATTAAACTATAGCATACACAGATTCTTATTTTACATTTACATCATTGTAAATGAGAATATTGATCCCAAAACAGCCTGAAAATAGAAACCGCTCTGTTTCACCATGACAATCAAACAGTCAGCAAATTTTCATTCATGTTTATTGTTAAGAAAAAGGCTATGTGACATTTTTTTAGCCCCGCATGTATAGCCACAGTCTGAAGTACAAAGTAGTGGGTGTATATACGGGGGTAGGTGAAAACATTTTCTGAGCATTAGTCTCAAATGCAGGACAATAAAAGATTACTCAGTCAAAATACAACACTAAGTAAGCTTATGATGAGAGTATACAGTTATAACATGCATAAAAGGTAATTTAAGTGATAATACAAGATTTTACATATGCCCCCTTTAAATACAACAAAGATTATGAAAGAACAACAAAACACTGCTCTAAAATCTACATCTACAAAACGTCAATCTTCCACAAATGCTATTACCGGTCAAGAGAGACTGCTGCCGGCAAGCAACCTCACCGCAGCAGATGGGGAGAAAGGAAAATCCCAATTCCCAAATCTCTGACTGCACCCAGGAGTCCCGGAGGTGCACGGCTTGTTTTGAAAATGTGCTAACGTGCTAAAAAGAAGGTGTCTATTCTGGTCATAATGAAGACTCCAGGGCCGTCCAAAAGAGCGGCGCGCGGAGGAGGCGGTCCCCATGAGGGTTCATTTGTCAGTCTTCTTCATCCCTCGAAACAAATAAATGCTATTCCCGACAGGTTTAGCAAACACTGGATCCCACGGTTTGGCTGTGCTTCAGACTGAATGCAGTTGTTAGCTTGTGCGGTGGAATACGTAATGTAAAACTGCACCATATACTGCATATACAGGAAATTGCAATTTGAGTAATTATTAAGTAAATGTTGTGGTACCTATAGCTTTGAGCTCTACAAACATATTCTGAAATTCATGGGTTTCTTATTTTATGAGTTCATGTTTCAGTTTTCACTCATATGTTAAAGGTGCACTGCGTAACATTTCTAGTGGAGGGTCTGTCACCTGCTTACAACCATGCTACCTTACAATTCAGATCTGTGGAAAAGCGGCCCTATTCACAGAAAGAATTATTGTATTTTTAAGCAATAGAAACACATGTAATGAAAAAATGCTATCTGTCACACCATGGAACATTCCAGGCAAAGCAAGAACATCTCCATGGAGATAAGTAGGTAGCGGATAAATTGTGCAGCCCTAAAGTTCACATTTTAAACATGTCTAAGAAAATTGACAAAAAGACTGAAATATTAAATGAAAACTCATACAAAAATCACATGTATTTTCAAACAACTAGCTGGCATTTTTCGTTTTGTAGAATAAAACAAGATATTTGGTTGTTTGTGGAGGAAATTGAGGTACTTAAATAATTGTAGCCTTTGTGATTTGCTAATTACGTCCATTTCGCTTGCGATTAATCTTGCAGCCGTTGTTTGGAGCATGGACTGCGGGTAACGGGGGCAAGGGGACGGTGAGGTCAGCTGTGAAGCCATAAAGCCTCTCATTACAGGAGCCACGGAGGGACAAAAGGCATAAATCATTACCCCAGTGAGACATTAGTTACCACCGCCTCCTCCTGAGACGAGTACGCCAACACAACATGTATTTATTAGACAGCAGGACATTAGACCATCTGAGCCCATGCAAATAACGTACAGCCATCATTTCCCACAATGCATCTGGAGGAGGCATGCATGGAACCTAGCAGGCAAACACGCTAGGCAAATATAAAGCAGTATCTTGTATCACTGCTGCCGTGGATGCCAAATAGATCAAATTAGAATAACTGTCACACAATTTGTATTTATTTAGCAGGTATCCAGTATTCTGTAGCTAAATACAGTCTCAAAGTATTCTTTCCATCACTGGTAATGCATTCAGTGATACCAATT